AATAATCCGTTTATCTAGATCAGTTAAATCCTTAATGCCAACGGACGCATTTCCAGTCAGTCCCATTGCATGTTTATAGTCCTGTAATTTCTTCTTGCTTTTGGATCTAAAATTAAACAATGGAGTTTTTTTATTTACAATTTTTCAATATAGTTTCTACAACTATAAAATTAAAAGCAACGATGTTATTTTACATGTTTTTATGTATAATTCTTTTATATATATATATATATACATATATTATTAACTGTTAATATATTTTATTTTAATTTTTAACTACTTACTTCATGTTGACCCATGCCTTCTTCCAACCATTGGCATCTTTAACTGCTCCACCAACGGCATTTAAAATAGCAGCTAGAGAGCTCCACTGTTCATTAAGACTTCGCGCACCGTGATCTGACACAAATCTGTCATGAGCGAAATCTTTATGCTCTTCCATATGCTGAACCAGCACTTGTTTCTGCTTCTTGCTTATTCGTTTTGACTTTAAGTCCATGAATTCCATCATAAATATCTAAAAATTAAATAATAAATAAAATATATTAAATCTTATATGTATTAATATGTATATAATTATTTATTTTGTTCACTGTTTCACTTGGAATTCATTTATTTTTGGTACAAAAATAAAAATATGAAAAATAAAATACATTTGTTTACATTTGCTGAACACCAAACGCACTCTCACTATATTACTGCCACAAAATTTTTGTAATATTAATTTTCTTTTTCATTTTACTTTAAATGCAAAATTTATTTCTATCACAATTACTTAATTAATAAATAAATATGAATATTATACTAAATACATACAAAATAATTGCTCAATTTGTTTAAAAAATAATATTTTCACTTTAAGCGACAGCAAAAACCTAGTCGCTAAAAACAATCAAATTAGGAGAAATTTTAGTCTTTTTTAACGAAATTTAGCGATTGCCAATTTAGCAGAATACGAAATTTGGCGATTTAGCGATTTATCCGGAAAAATCAGCTGTTTTTGAAAGTTGAGAAAATTAGCGAATAGAAATTAAGCGTAACGAGTTAGCAGAATCGCAAAAATCGCTAAAATGCATTTAAAGAATTTTAGCGATGGAGTTTTAGCGATAGCTATTAGTGGAATCGGCCTGCTGATGTGTTTAGCAAGCAAATTTACAATGGGTACAATTTATGCAACTTCAGAATTTTTAGCATTATTTTTTTGATATAATTGTAATTATAAGTAACCATTAAAATAATAGCTATATTTCTTTAAATTCTTTTGTAACAAATTAAAACAAAAGGACAAATTCTTTTATGTGAAAATAATAACATATAAAAACAAATTTTAAGAATTAAAATTAAATTTTAAATTAAATCTTTAAAAAAACTTACTAATAAAAAAAAATTAACACATATAATAAAAAAAAAATTTAATTAAAAGAAAAACTTAAGATGAAAATTAAGATAAAAAACTATTTAAAACTAAAAACAAAACAATATGACGTATAAAAAAAAACTTGAGCGATGTGACTATTTCAGGCGTTATTATTCAATTTACCTCTATACTGCAATTCACTTCTGAGCTGGATATGCTGAACGTATATACACCTTTCCATATATCCACATATCCTTATACCTCCATATTTATTAGCACAGTTCAATAAAAAACAGTACAGCAGAAACTATCATCCAAAATCTTGTTCAGAAGTCCTTTATGATGCCCTCAAAGTGTAGTATAAATAGTTCTTTTAACAACAAAATTATTATATTATACGACTATTTTACTTCTGTTAATTGGCTACCGTGTGATTGTCTTGAGTTTATTTTACTTTTCTTTTAATTTTGGGCACACAAATTATTTAATTCATCCAATATTTCACAATATTTCATATAGTTGTTTTTTAATTAATGTTGGTTTTCAAACTACAGGTTTTTAACAGTTTTTCAGATAATAAAAAAAATTAAATGATTGGACTTGGGAAAAGGTTATTACTAATATTATTCTCTCCAAGAATTTTACAGGATTATTATTTGCATCAAACTGTTCAAACCAAAGAAAATTTAATTTCTTTATTACTTTTCTCACTGTTCACAAGAAAAACTCTTTTGTTTTTGATTTATATATTATCAATTTTTTCTGATTTCAAAACTCCGATTTTTCGCACACACTTCAACCGTCAAACCAAAAGTCAAAAATAGACCTCCGTTTTCCTTTTCTGTCGACTTATATATCCTAATTTAGTTTCGGTCAAACCTTCCTGTTACTTTCAGAACAAAGAACCAAATCTGGCTGTGTCTTTTTAAACCGCTTTCCAAAATATCTGTTACTACTGTTTCTATTTTTTTTTGTTTTTTGCACATTCCGAATTTTTAAGCGCATGGCTTTGGCAGCATTATTTTTTTTCATAATTCCTAATCTTGACTAAAACTTTTCGCCGCGACTCTTGATCAAAATAAAAAAAAAAAAAAAATTTACAAAAGCTTTTTCTTACATATTTAGCATGTGCGTGCAATGCACAGGTTAATTTTAATTAATATTAAAACAAATAAAAAAAAATGTGTAGACGAATTCGGGTGGTGAAGTACTGTATGGAGGCTACCTGGACAACGTGGGACATACGAGGTAACATCATGTTTTTCATTTTACTACCTATGTTAACATATCACCTTCTACCCACACAGGCCTACATAACAGTCAATATGGCTTTATGGTTATAGCATACGCCCACACAAGAGTAGCATATAGAAACTGATACTAAAAGAACTCAAGCGGTGTCCTTGGGGCTTGTATTGCAATCACTTTGTCTCCCGATTGCCTTACATATGTTTCGAAACTCAACATATTATCTAGGGTGACCCCGAGATATTTAAGTTGGGGGCTAGATTGTATGTTTACGCCACCCACTTTAATTGAGAGCTGTTCAATCATTTTCCTACTGCTGATTAAGAGCACCTTTGTTTTATGCTCAACAAGCTGCAATCCAATGTATTGCAACCACGATTTAGCTGCTGCAATAGTAGCGTTGCAATTCTTAGCCACTTCGTCTAGAGTTTTTATAACAACTACTATTGCAATATCATCTGCATACCCAACTACATTCACTTCATTTCGATTCGAAGCATACCATCGCACATGATATTCCACAGAATTGACCCTGGAAGTGATCCCTGGGGAACCTCTCCCATAATCTTATATGTTTTGGGTCCAGATTCTGTATCATTTAAGAATAATCTGCCTTTAAAATATGATATAATACATAATATTCAAAAGATATTCTGAGACTCTTATTTTCATCAGTGCATTTAAGATGCTACTCTACTTAGCAGAGTTGAAAGCATTTTTGACATCTAAGGTTCCCACCGCGCAAAACATACAATTCTTTCAAGGAACTTACCTGCAGTGTCCAGTAAGCATGAAGGTCTGTAAGATGATGCTAGCTCTGAGTGTTTGCTATTTTTATTTATAAGCATCAATCTTTGCTTTTTCCAACACGATGGAAAAATTCTTCCTATAAGCAGCGTTTGAACACATCCCTGAATATAGAGATCTTCTATATTGTTCCCCGTCTCCGAAACTCATGTTCTCGGCCATGAATTCTATTACCTCTTTGTCGAGACACTTAGTTTTCCAGCCTATTTACTGTGCTTTTTTCAGTGATTTTTTTAAAACAAACTTTTTCAACGATATGAAAAACCAATTGAAATAATGATCGTTGTGGGTGTAGTGGTTTGTTACTTTCCATTGCGAACACCTAACTAATGACGGGATGGCAAAGGTGAAATCTATGTGGGATAGGCCTCTAAAATTGTCGAAGGTTAGGATATGCCCATTGTTCATTTGTGTTGTTAAGTGAGGTGAACGTCTCTTATGGGGCTCTACGTCGGTGCGTCGTAATCGAGTGCCCAAGCATTGAAATTTCCTGCAATGATGGGAGTTTTGTTTCGGACTGTTCCGAATAGCCTATCTAGAACTCTTGAAATCTTTCCTGGGAGATATTTGGGAATATATAGCAGCTACATATATAGATACCTCGGATTCTAACAAGTACTAAACCTTCCTTTTGCATCAATACGCTTAGTTCAAATATTATGTCCTTTCCTAGGCAAATGGCTGCCTTTACTCAAGTATCTTGAACCCATTTAGAGGTTTCTTCTAATTTGTAAAATTCACTAATTACGATTACATCTGACTATAATTCCAAAGTTGTTTGGGATAAGTGGTCTTGGGCAGCCTCACATCGATTTAAGTTCAATTGTAGAAATTTAATCATTTTTTGGACTTAAGCTCCTGTATAGCCTTCTTGTACGATTCGCATTTGGAACTTCTTGAGTAGTGTAGATTACCACCCTTGCAGTTTTTCGGACATTGAATTCATTTTGGTTGAGCCGAGCACATTTTTGCTATATGACATGTGCTTAATCTTTCATAAATGCTTTTGCACTGTCTAGCAGGATATCCAAATTGTAGGCATTTAAAGCACCTCATGGGTGCGATATGTTTTCTAATCCTACAGCTCACTCAGCCCACTCTGACTGAGGCAGCTGTGATCAGTACACTGGCATCCTTAGCAGGAAGGTCAATAATCGCTGATAGTGTGTTGTCCCTTGCGGAACGCCAAAACTTGACGTTGATGCCGCTTACGTTTATTGCTGGAAATTGATCAGCAATCGCCGCGCACACCTCTTCGTTGGACGTTACCTCGTCCAGATTTCTGCACTCTATTAGAGTGTGTTGTGTTAAGTATATTACACTAGCATAGTCCTGAAGTGTATTCTTCATTTCAGTGCAGAAACTTCTTGCTTCCGGTCTCACTCTTGGCGCTTTAAGAAGGTTCAGTTTTGTCGCAGTATTTTCCTTTTTCTTTTGCACTAGCTGCCATTTGTGACA